ATCTCAATTTGATCGCTACATGACGAGCAACATCACCGGCTTGGGCTATCACGTTTGACAATGCAATTGACAACTTGGCGTCAATGGACTGATACCGTTGCCCCCCACTGTCATTCAATAGCTCGATGTCAGGATTTGGTCGAATAGCCGGCTGTAGCCATGCTTCCCATGCGGCTTTGTCTCCGTCATTTGCCGAAAGAACAACACTCTTGATGAGGTCTGATTGCCAAACCCCAAGATTCTGTTGCTTTGGCCATGGGCTAACATAGACTTTGTCCGCCTCTCGTCTTGACATTCTTGGTACTTCTTCTGCAGTGTAAGCCGCTGTGGAGACATCATCTGCTGAATCGCGTTGTGATCCTCGAACTGAAGGCAAACCTGGTGGTTCAGGAGGTGGTCCTGGTCCGTTAGGCCCGAAAGGGTCCGGAGGTCCATCAGGGTCAGGCGGACCGCCCCATCCACTCGGTGGCTTGTAATAGTCCCTCTCAGTTCCGCCAGCGATCTTGTTGTCAACCTCCTTCAGCAGATCAGCGATTCTTTTGTTTGATTGAGAATGTTGTTGTTGTTGAGGAGGTACAGCATGCCCACGATAGGAATGAGCCACATTTGTCTCATAAGTCAACTCCTTGTCGATCTGCGAAACCCAAGATTTCAGAATGGCATTTTCACTGTTAGCCTCACTCACGTCATTCTCCAGTTTGTCGATGACCAGTCTGGATGCGAGATCGGTGTTGGGAATGCCTGCCGAATAGGGAAGTGTATCAGGATTGATCCTAGCCATAGATGTTTCAGAATCCTTGAGACTTCTTCTCAGTTCATCTAAGTGACGTTTCATGTCAACAATCTCAGAATTCTTGATACCAATCTTTTCATCCCTATCCTGGATTTCCCCCATGAACATGCATGATCTCTCATATTGTTGAACACCACTAGCCAATTTCAATTTTCGCTCACTCTCTAGTTCAGATCTTAGAGTTCGGACCTCAGCGTTGGTGAGGGACGAAGCCCCTACATCCGCAACTTCAGCCAATCTTTCTTTCAATAGCATGTTTTCTTGTAAACATTCATGAACCTCATGATCAAGATCCTGAACCCTAATTTGAGCGATTTTGGCTTGATTACGTAGATCTTCAACAAGCATCTCATCGGGGCCACGACCGTCGGTCGTAGAACCCTGAGTCAACGATCTTCGCAACTTTGTGTTCTGCAACTTGATCTCATCCTTTAGCTCGCAGTTCATCTCCTGCTCATTGGTGTAGAGCTCTTCATAATGCTCGGCCCTCGCGATCGAATTCAAGCTGGCCTGTGATTCAAGCCTCAGGTGTGATATCGCTTCGGCCTCTTGGTTCCTGTATGATGCAATTCTTTTGACGGTATCATGTTCGGTGTTTCGATGCTTCAGATCACTTTCTAATTTGGCCTGATTTGCCTCGAAAACCTTCTTCCTAGATTCTCTAGTGATCTCGTCAATACTGCTTTCATACAGCTCGGCTTGTTTACGAGATTGAACCAAAGCTTCACTCAATAGTTGATTCCGTTCAGATAGTTCATGAACTGCAATCGATTGTTGTTGGCTAATCACTTCAAGTTGATTGCTGGAGAAGGATGCCATTTCGGATCGATTACGATATTCCATGATTGAGTTCTGGAAATCATTTTGCATTTCTTGACCTTCATTGTAGAGTCGATTGGCAATATCGGTGGTTAAGACATTGGTTTGATGAAGTTGTTGAAGTCTTGCCTCCGTATTACCCAATAGTCCTTGAAGGTGATGTACTTCATCCTTGTACTCCTCCTGGATCTCCATACCACGTTGATGGATCCGTCGTGCACCATGTTCCATTAGGGCACCTCGGCGTTCAAGGTCTTGGATGCGCATTGTTGCACCTTCCTCTTCTTGAGATGCTACCATTAGTTCTGCTTGATATTCTGCAACTTCATTCGCGGAACGTGACAATCTACGATTGAGTGCACTGACTTCATCAAATACGTTCTGGTTGTGTTCCTGAAGATATTCGGTGAATCTAATCTCGATGTCATGAATCAGTTGATCTCTAGATGCAGCGTATGCTTCCATGTTGTTCAGCTGATTACGTAGGGATTGACATTGTGCCCGTAGTTCTTCTATCATGGCGATAGGTTCACTAGCCACAGAAGTATCCGTTGATCTCCTCTTAACACGACTATCCCCGGTCCTCTCACCAACTCGGTCGGTCATGGCCCTGGTGGATCTGTCCCTAGGAGTAGTTCGCCCTCGAGATTGCCGATGCCCTTGGCGGACAACATCACTCCGAGGACTGTTTCGAGAAGATCTTGGTGTACTTTGGGTGGATATCCTTCGTCTGTTTGTCGTCACTTGCCATCCGGACTGTGTAGTTCGGGTAGAGCGTATCCCACCACTGTCTGCCGTGTCACCAGGGGAAGACTGATTGACCTCCTCGACCGGCATGGCAGTGTTCTCGTTGAAGGTAAACTGCGTGGTGCGCGAATCTCCACTGCCGCCTTGCATCTTTGCGATGATGAGCCGATTGGTCCTTTGCGTCCTCAATCAATTGCTCAGAAGGCCCGGCTACCAGCACGCAGGTACCACTCTCCCGGAGGGAGAAGTGAGCCCTACGGCTGATAACCTGTGAACAAATCGATCCTTGTTCTGGATGTTGTAATTCAATTGGTACCCGCTTCACTGGTAGTTCCCGGACCCGTTAATCATGGCGGACGGCGAACACTTATTTTGCTCACGCGTGGGGGTCTTGAGCCATAGTGGCGTCCCACACATGGATTGTTTGTGTGTTCTCACTACGTTCCCTTTGACATGTATAAATGATGATGGTGGTGATGATGATGATGATGGTGATGATGATGATGATGATGATGACGATGCTGATGGTGATGGTGATGGTGATGGTGATGATGGTGAGGATGGTGGTGATGATGATGATGAGGATGATTGTGAGGAGGAGGAGGATGAGGATGAGGAGGAGGATAATGATGATGATCATGATCATGATCATGATGATGATGATGATGACAACAAGGAGGAGGAGGAGGAGGAGGAAGAGGAAGAGGAAGACAATCATTATCATTTGGAAGCCGGCAAGTTTCCGATGAAGATTTTATAGAGTTGATGGTTGGTTTACTGAACATGACGTCCTGAAGATGAAATACTGAAGACCCTATACCTGCAGGAAACCCATGGCCCAGCGGGACCAGGGATGAGGATGCTGATCAACGATGAGGAGGACGAAGATGATGAGCATGGGCATGAGGATGAGGATGATGATGATGATGATGATGATGATGATGATGATGATGATGGTGAGGATGATGATGATGGTGAGGATGATGATGATGATGGTGATGATGATGATGATGGTGATGATGATGATGATGATGATGATGATGATGACGGTGATGGTGATGATGATGATGATGATGATGATGATGACGATGATGAGGATGAGGATGAGGATGAGGATGACGACGACGACGACGATGATGATGATGATGACGACGACGATGATGATGATCATGATGATGATGATGACGACGACGACGACGATGATGATGAGGAGGAGGAGGATGAGGATGAGGATGAGGATGATGAGGTTGAGGTTGAGGGTGAGGATGAGGATGAGGATGAAAATGAGGATGATGACCCTCTTCCAGCCGGAAATCTCGGGGGGACCAGGGGATCAAACCTGGGGGGTCTAACTTGAAAGTTGCAAGGTTTCCAACGGTCCTGGTGCCTGCCTGTTCCTTGCTAAAGCAAGAGCAACTTCAGCTAGCACAAGCTAGCTTTCGTGATAAGGCCAGTCAAAGCCAAAATCATGTTTTTTGCGGTGCTATATGATGTCAATGTTCTTTGTATAAGGTGGTTTCTGGGCACTGGGGGTCCGAAGCTGTTGCTTTGGGGCTTCAAAACGTTGTTTTCAGATTCCGCCATCAGAATGGATGTTGCGGTGGGCCTCAACGGGCAAATTGGCTATCATCCTGGCCAGTGCTTATTTACAAAGATATGCTTGGAGGGGAACCGTCATTTTCCTATGGTCTTACTGAGCTCACCCTTGTTCTTGGCAATAATTTCGCATGGTTTCATCTTTGTCCCGGATACTACCACGCTGCAACCGGCAAAAACAATCCCTTAAGCACTTTACGCCGGTAGAGAAAAATGCATCACATGCGACGGTGCGAAACCGCTCACTTCGACCAGCAATTACTCCAATTAGGTTACGGTTAAGAAATGTGTTCCATTCCAAGAAAAAAGAAAGGGGAGGCGCAACACCGGCTTACCAACCCCACAAGCTAGAGCTGTGGTACCCACACTCTTCTTTGAGTGTGAACCCCACCCCCCAAACAAGAGTTGTTGTTCAACCACTTTCTTGGAATGACACTCTGGGTTTGGGGGTGGTGGGAGGCAGGGAATGAAAGAGATGCAGAAGTACCACTCCTTTATGTCGAAGGGCGACGGGTGGGGAAGGAAAGGTAAAGGAATAGTAAGGATTGATATGCTTAGGGTTTCCCAATCAAAGCGGAGTTCAGGTATGACATCTTTGGGCCTTTGGGTTGGATGGGTTGGGCAGATCAAGGAATGATATGCTGAGGATTTTACACTGAGAGCAAACCAGGGGTCCGAAACGTTTGGGTCGGGGGTGGGTGGTTGCGGTTGAGGTTTTACACTTGCAGGCCTTTGCAGCGGTATGAAACGAAAACAATCTGGGATTACACCCCTGAGGCTTTGAGGTGGAGGCAAATATTGGAGGCCTACGTTGTCCTTGACTTTGTACTTGTGGCGCTGCCTATCTTGCTATTGACGTGCAAGGCCTGTCCAATCATTCCATATATTAATATATTTGTTCATACTACATTTTGCTGATGCATTGCTGCTCCCGACCAGGAAAAGGAATGAACAGGCTGTCAAGCACACTCACCTGCGTAATGCAAGGTGTGGCGCATGGTTACTGCATGGCACTCGCTGCTCCAAACTGTCAGGGTGTCCCAACCACAGCCAAACCTGATCACTGGACCGGATGTCGTCAAAGCTTAAGCCTTGCCCATCGCCTCTCAATTGGAAACCACCCCAAACAATACACGAGTGTGCATATTGAACATATTGAAAGGGAAAGGTGCCCTCCTACCGGCAGCTACCATCAATATCAACACATTGATGAGAAATCAGGTCGTTTTCCATCACTGCTGAACATCTGCGCCTTCTGTCATGAGCTCCAACACTCCTACAAAGCTTGTGGGAAAATGACCCGCTCATAGCATGAGGTAAAGAGCTCCAAACCAATCAAACGTTGGAATCAACAAATTGAAGCTTCAGGAGTCAAAATTCACAGCCGTGTTTTTTGCAGAGCTAATGTCGCATAAAAAATAATATGCTAGTCCTTGTCTGCAGTTGAAGGCCAGCGCCGGAGGAATGCGCATATAAATGTCAACAATGGTCATCACCAAGACAGCGAGATAGATCTCGGATTGAGTTGGAGGGCGCTGTCTCTCACACATACACACACATACACACACGCACATCCTCATGTCAAGTCTTGGACATTAGACAGCCTTTGTTGAGGAGACAACACACATTTGATCCTGCAAGCTAAGAAGCCCGACACAGATATTTCGCAGTTTCAGCCGCTGCAAATGCCTTGAATGACTTTCCAGCGACGAAAGTGGAGGAACTGAGGATGTTTGGTCTGAATTCAGCAAAATGTGATGAGAATCGCAAACATAACACAGAAATGACAAGCCAAAGCTATTTGTACCTGGTACCTGGCTGCAACAAGGTACTGTGCATGACAATTCATACTGCACTCTGTCTGCTGTTCAAGTCCAGCATGTTTTCAGCGACTATGGTGCAATACTGCCGGATTTGTTGGTACTACTGCCAGCTGTTTCTACAGTAGGTGGTCAATTTCGTGTCTACTTGTTTTGCCTGCGTGCTACCTTCGGGTTGAGGTTTGCTCGTGTTTCCTGCTTCTGTTGTGATGCTGTGCTGCTTTCACAGCCGTCGCTGCCACAGCCACCAGCAACAGTGACAGCAATAGCAGCGGCCCGATAGCCCGACAAAGAGCAGCAGATGCAATATTTCCTAGCATTTTGGAATGCTGTATTGGTTTTACTATGTTTTATTGACCTTGCAACAGCACGACAGGGCCACAGAAACAAGCAGTGAGGATTTTAAGGCACACACTGCTTCACATTCTTGTCTCGCTGTGTCATGTACCTCGCAAAGGCGCAAAACCACAGGCGAAACCAGTCCTCTTCCAAAAGACTTCTACTTTGGGATGGCTCTAATGTCTGCCACTCCTTCTTCACGCTCTTGCTTAACACCTTTTCAAATCATTAGGTTGATCCACCAAGGATCACCAAGGTATGTTGAGACTGTTGAGAACTACATTTGCAGGATTGATGCTCACGACTTTGCTCGAAATGGGCAACATCTTTCGTACATGATAAGCTTGGGAGAAACCTGCTAATATGGATGATGCAGGATTTCGAGGTCTAGTCTACTGTATGTATGGCCGCGCATGCAAGTAGACTTAGGTTCCAGTTGTGGCTCAACCGAATTTCAATATATTTCAATATATTTGCAATATATTGCAATATATTTCAATCAGCTTTAATATCTTTCAATATTGCAATGATTGTTTTAATCAACTTTACTCAGTAAGGCGTCGAGAAGATTCGAGATCTGCTCGTGGGTCACCTGAAGAGGCCTGGCAGCAAAAGCATCTGCTCCGCGAGATCACCGACACCTGAGCCAAGAAATAAAAACATTCCTCAAACACTAGACGAAAACATCGATAACATTGAAGAATATTCAAATGAATCTTAACTTAGTATTCCTAAAAGTTAACAAATATCAATATTGATAACTTAATATTAATAAAAGTTAATAAATATCTTCAAAATAGCATTAATAAAGGTTAATAAAGATCTTTAATTTAGTATTCACAAACGTTAATAAATATATATATTATTTAGTACCAGTAAAAGTTGATAAATATCAATATCATATAATTTAGATTAATTTAGTAATATTTATATAATACTAGTAAAAGGTAACAAATATCAATATTAATTTAGTGTTAACAAATATTAAGAAACTAAGGTGAACACAGTCGTTTCAAACACTGCACTGTAAAAAAAAAATGGAGATAAAACAAAACCAAGCTAATATATGTTAATATAACTTAATCCTGACAAGTTGGAGCCTCAAGCCTGAGAGTCTGAGATTGTGCAAGAAAAATATTAACATCGTTGCATTTCTTGGCAGTCCACGGTCCGTGTCAAAGTATCAAACATGATCGATCTATAAATTGTAGACAATGTTCATTCGACGACTTTTCAGTCAAATGTCCATTCGACGACTTTCCAGTCACATGTCCCACATTGTGGCCCTCATTTTTCATTTTTTGGAACTATCATGACTACTGTATCATTGAACTTCTTTGAACTATCGTCTCTGATCGTCTCTGATCGCCTCTGGCTCTGAAATTCTTCCCCTGCCTGTGCGCGTGGCTGCATCGCCCTTCGCCTCATCTCGCTTGGCACTCTGCTTGGCCACTCGACGAGCCTTGCGGCCTAAGACGGAAGGAAATTGCAAAGGATTTCAATGTTCTTATCGATATATGATGTATAATTATGTATTCTGTATATAGGTGCAAATGTGCCTCGAGGAAAACTAACCCATTTGGTGCAACGGTGCACCTAGACCTTTCTTTCCCACTCTGCCACTCTGCATCTGGTTCCAAAATGCTCCAAGATGTTCCAGCATCCTTTCTAAACATCGCAGCTTGGGCTCCAACCAGCTTTGGGCATTATATGCAAGAGCTCTCTATCCATCAGTGTAGCATTCTTCCTGTCAAAATGTCAACAAAGGATTAACAAAGGAAACTGCCCCCTGTAGTTTTCTTCGTGTCAGCCTCCTTTTCGGGTCTTTTGAGGTCATGATAAACAGCCCCAAGGCGAAGCGCTGCATCTCCACGCAACTACAGCAACCCGGCAGCACTCCAACGGACAGTACAAATAGTACACGACAGAGCACCAACACAAACATTCTCAGAGCCCTCGCTGACCAGCACAGCCAAGGGATCCTTGGCTTGCAAAAGTAATCGCCACGGCATCGCAATGATTTCAAGTACAAAGTTTGATGAACTACTTTTGCAAGATTTTGCAAGGCATTTGCACTACAAACTGCAAATTATTACCTGGTGAATATTTCTTGGCAAGTTCATCCATCCAAACTGACCAGTCTTCTGTGCACCAGAAGTAAACTTGAGGGCAAGGGGTAAGGGACGAAAGCTAGCTTGGCAGTGTAAAGTGCGAAGTGTGGAGTGTAAAGTGTGAAGCGTAAAGTTTAGAGTGTAAAGTATGGAGTGTAAAGTTTAGCATGTGAAGTGTGGAGTGTAAAGTGCGTTAACAGGTAAGTGTAACATGTCGAGTGTGGAACGTGTAAGATGGGGAGGTAAAGTTTTGCGTGCAAAGTGTGGACTCCAGAGTGCGAAGTGCAGAGGGTGGATACAAGTGATCCGCGTCCCGGGAGGGGTTGAGCCCACGACCAAACTGCTTGTGAAAGGAGGGGGGAGGGAGGGGGTAGTTAACTGAGAAGTTTCTCGCGATTGGAGATTCCATCCCCCCAATACCTTGCTAAAGCAAGAGGCACTTCAGCTAGCAGAAGCTAGCTTTCGTGATTTTGTTGTCCAAGTGCCAAGCTGCACAGAATAACTGCCAGCATATCACAGCATAACTGCAATATAGCAACCACATTATGCGAAGTTTACGGACTGCTCAGGACTGCTCGGGACTGCTCGGGCTCGGGACTGCTCAGGTGCAGGCGGGGTTTTTTGCACCAAGCTGAAGTGCGCATCTTCATTCTCCCGGAAGCAGCTCTGAATCCTGACGACGTGCTAGAGGATGCTGGACGAATGTCCAGGGCCCTGGAGATAATACAGCATGGGATATACAAGGAATTACAAGGATATCTACGAATGCCAACTGTTTGAAATCATGTCAAATGGGAATGGTCCTTTGAAAGTCACTGCTCAATCCAAGCAACCTGTATAAATATGCTTGAAATTGAATCTTCGCTGTAGGATGTTGTAGGTTCATGTTCTCCTCCATTCTCCACTGCCTTTACAGCCTGCAATTGTAAGCGCCGCACGCTAGCTCATCGTGGACTTTGGCATTGCTCATCGTCTTCAGGATAAACTCAACTTCTGAGAGACCCCAGTACCTCTGCTCAGCTTCTGTGCAGTTTCTACATGCCTCAACCTGGCCTGCCAGAACTGCGGTACTGGGAGACCAGACTAGACCAGGCTTCAGAGTCGACTTCACTCTGAGGCTGATGCAAACACGCATCTTCACGCAGTTTCTTTGTCTTCATGTTCCGATCCTCTGCCAAGGAAAAATGTGGAAAAGATATGGAAAAGAAACATCCTGCACCGAAATTGCGGAGCATTTTCCTCGATGCGTGTGAAACACTAGCATTTTCTCACGAGGCCACGTTTGGTACAGTATCAATTGGGCTCAAATTCTTTGTTTTTGCATGTTTTTGCAGGTTGGCTCTTTTTGTCTTGAGCTTAATTGTCTTAATATTGAAGCCATTTAGGGGCACGTGGTGCCCACATTCAACCCTGTCAAATCCTGGGGCTGTCGAAAGTCCGAATCTAAACAGTTGAAGATACAGACTTCAAGGTTTTCAAACAGACTGTTGCTCACATAACTCTCGAGTACCATGCACTTGGTTGGCATTTTTTGGTTACAACTGAAGCCCGTACAAGAGAATCTTACTGATTCAAGCCTTCTAAATAGATTAGATAGAATGTTGCCACACCCTGCTATTTGCATCAAATCTCCTTCAGATCACAAGAGGTTTATATTTACACTGAGCACGCCACAAGGATTTGCGCTCAATGTGTTTGCACTAAAATTGAGTTTGTATTATTTGTATCGGACTTGTTTCGCATCAAAAAGTTTTGGATCAGAAGCTCACGCAGTACACCGGCACCTTCAAGTTTTGGAGCAGGCGATCTTCGTCGCGAAGCGACTTAAGTAGATGAAGAGTTGCAAAAAATATTATGCGATTTGGATGTTGCCTCTACCGTGCAGGTATTGAAGTTTATTGGCTGGTGTGAATGAGTGTGCATGGGTGTGCAGAGCAATGAAAGCCTTGAAGGACCACAGAAATGGACCGAGCAAGTCTGGAGAGTCTGGAGCAAGTAATATGAACCTGGCAAAATCCTCTGATCCGTTTCCAGGCACTGGGATTCCCTCACCACACGAAAGCTGAGATTGTACTTGAGCTCAGAGTTGGGGATGCAGTAAGTGACCAGCACAGTGTCAATGTATTTGCCTTGGAGCTCAAAACCCCCATATGCAAACATCTTTTGGCGCTGGCATTCTCCCTGTTTTCAGATTGAAGCACACTGTTGGTGACTTTCCCCAGACATAAAGACAAAAGAGGTAGCCTGAGAATGTGGCTTTCCTGTGCTTGTTCATCAGCCGACCTAAATGATTTATATTTGATCTCAGCCATGTATGCTGAAACTGTGGCGTCTGTAAGCTCTAGCGCTCAGCAAGGGATACAGCTGGGACACAATTGCTGCGAGTCCCTGTCGAGTCTGTCCATCCCAAGCCGTTTTCACTTCTCTGAGCTTGCAGCTTCTCGACCATCAGCTCCACTTCATCGTAAATGCGAATTCCGAGCCTCGCAGAGATGAACCCAGAGATGAACGATACCGACCATGTGATCCATATGGTAATATTGAACACAGTCAGCACGTTAAACTAAGATCCCCGCTCATTCTGCGTGCTATCACGCTTCACCTGTCATATGACACGGGATGACTACCTAGCTAGCCCAAATCTCACAGAAGGAATTGATGAAGTCTCGCGGAAGGGCTGGACGGGCTAAACCCACAGGCTAACTGGGGTGTACCACATGGTGTACCACCTGGTGTAGCTTGGTCAATTTAGGACTTTTCATGACTTTTCATGACTTTTCTAACTTGGAGCGTCTTGGAACCTTCTCTTGCAAGGTGCTCTCCATGAAGCGTCGGACGTTCGCCGTTTGCAGGTCCATCTCCTGGCGACACTTCGACAAATCTCGGCAAACCAGGCAACGTGATACAAGCGATATGCTGAGTGTGCCAAGTGATGTGGCAAGTGATTGATGTAACATGATGTACGTAATGCTACGCCTGCTACGCGTGAACACGAGGCAATTGCGAATAAATATCCGATTTCTGAGATGCAGCCTGCTCTCTCTGTTGATCATCCTGAATGGTCGCCACCTGCAGTCCGGTTCTTGGAAAAACTTAGTGACAAGTGCTTTGCTTCATAAGTCCTTGTCCCGCTAGAAAGGTCGAAACCCGCCTCCTTTCCAGCTTTCTGCCCCCGCCTCTGCACTATTGACAAAGAGTTAGAACAGGTCCTAACAGTAATATGTTACTGACATTACGAGATATCATATGGCTACAGTGTAGGTGCATTCTGAGTAGATTATGAATAAAAATTGAATGCTTCTACTGCTTCCGGCATACAGCTTCATGGAGCTTGTACCATGGCCGCGGCAAATATAACTACATACGACATTGTATGACTCACACACAACTCTTTCTCTGACTTTCACCGCTTGTCCCTTCTACATCCGGGCCACTAAGCCATCGCACCTGGCTTCCGCAAGGCGACGATTTTTGGCCTGCTCTTCCAGGAGGTCCTTTTTGCCTCAACTGAGACTCAGACGAAGGTATTGAAGCAGTGCCAGGAACATCCAGGAAGGACGTGGCACTTGACAATCAATTGAAACATGAACGGACTTGAACGGATTTGAATCGTACCGAAACGTGATGCATCCCATGCATCGCCCATGGAACTCTGTCGCAAACAGAAGGTAATGCACAAGAGTCAAACCATACACGTGACACATCAACGAGAACATCGCTAGACAATGCAAAGAAAATGCTTAGAAGAGAGTAAGACAAATGCTTAGAAGAGAGTAAGACATGGTGAAGCATAGTAAAACATAGTAAAACGTTGATGTAAAACTGGTTTGGATGTACATTGGAACGCATTGAACCATCCCAAACATACACGCAGAGACTACTTGGAGCAACACGGCACCTATGAGCTGCAGAGGCATGTCCAATGTAAACAGGGAACCGAGATGAACAAAACAGGATCAAACAGAATTACGGAAAAAGAATCCCGACGATATACAGACTGTTTCTGAAAAGACTAAAGCCTCCCATGGTGCTAGCCACTGACCTGTGTAGCTTTCCGGGCAAAATCAACCGTTTCTGCCACGCTTCAGAATCATCTTTCAACCCATCTTTGTGTATCCCATAACCTGGGGCGCAAACATCTGTCCGCCTCTTCCTTCCGAGCAGCTAGTTCGTTGTTCAAAGCCTCGGTACACAAATGACAAAACAAGAGCTGGCTGCTGAGAAACAGTGATGCAGTCAATTCTCGGAATTCACGGAATCCTTGACCTCGGATGCAGTGCAACAGTGCAACCCGAATGGTCTCAGCACACGCCCCAAGAGAGAGTCGGACACAGAGCGCATCCCAAATCTACGACAAACCACCGGCCCACCAGGTGGATCAGGCGGACATACTGAACGAACAGCGAACAGCGAACAGCGAACAGCGAACAGCGAACAGCGAACAGCGAACAGCGAACAGCGAACAGCGAACAGCAAGACAAAACTTTGATTTGTGGTATTTCTGCGGATTTGTTTTTTTTCTGCTACTTGGGGATGGTTTGGGAAAAGATCCAATGCCATGGTGCCCGGCAAAATTCAGTATCTCAAGAGAGCCACACAATGTAAAAGTTGAAAGAACTAGATCCCCAAGCTACAAGTTGGATCAAGTTGGATATCAGTGCCGAGATAGGTGGGGAACCGGGGGTCACGCATCCGAATCAGAGAGGGTTGAGACTGTCGGGAACCTGAAGTTGAACGGATTGAACGGAAACCCAGAACATGTATTGACTGTATTGGGTTCCAGTGGTTCCAGCAACAGAAAATGCACTCAGCACCAAACACAGGCCAAACACAGGCCAAGGACAAACTGTCACAAATTTCAAACAAAGGACAACGCAGCACAAATTCGAGAAACTAAGGGAACGATGCCGCGAGTGCAAAAAACATCAAAAAAACGATATAGATTGACATCTAGGAATCAGGCAAAGCCCCAAAGAAAATCGGCACGTTGAGGAAATCTAAAATCATTGTTTACGCCCAAAATGTTCAAGTGCAACTGTTATGCTGCTGTTCTTCCATCTATTTCCATCTTATTCCACTGCAAGGTAGCCCAAACTTCCGTCCAGCCTTCAACTTTTCTTGCAGCCTCTCCACCAGCTCACGACCTTGGATAGTGACACTTTTGTTCACAAATGTCCGTTCTTGTCGCTACATGTGTGCCTTGCTATTGTGGGCAAACCTGGCAAATTTAAGATGTGTATATTATATATACACATACATAGACGTGTATGTGTATATATATATATATGTATATATATATATGTATATATATATATGTATATATATATGTATATATATGTATATATATGTGTGTATATATATATGTGTGTGTGTACATATGATAATATACCATATATATATATACGTGCGTGTACATATTTTAATATACCATGTATATATGTGTGTGTGTGTACATATTATAATAGTCAAACAGGGGGTCGAACCGAGAACCCAGCAAAACAAGGAATCCCAATCCGCCGAACCCTGCATGAAATACCAAATGCCCCCGTTTACCTCGGGGCACTTAAGCCATCGCGTCGATGACATAGAATTAACCCGAACCCTGGTGGTTGTTAGGGTAAGGGGTAACTAAGCCTACTCATCTCTAACTACGGCTCTCTATCTACTTACTGCTTTTAAGTAGTAGGTGCAATATCTGTACATATCGGAGATATCTACTTGAAACTACATTGGGCTCATAGCTAAGGCATACCTACACTAGACCTACCTGCACATGCTATACATGGTGGGGCTCAGGGGTCGATATATTTCAACCCCCCTCGCCTGTTCCACACGCACTGCGCATTGGCAGGCACCTACGCATCTACTGTCGCGAGAGCGGATGCTCACTGCGACCTATGCATTGGATTTAAGGTCTAAGGGAAGGTCAGTACGTATTCCTAGGAGGATTAGTGCTGCTGCCCATTTGTGTGGAGGCAATGCCTTGGTGAATATGTCCGCCGCCTGATCATCCGTATTGATGTACTCTATCAGGGCAGAGTCATCTTTGAAGATTTCAGACAGGCAAGACAGATTTACTTTATGCGTTCTAGTTATATGGCGAAGCTTGGGACTATGTCGTTTCTTCACAACTAGGATTGTTGCTTGATTGTCTTCGTGAACTCGGAGTGTTACTGAGCGTGCAAGCAACAGCTCCCATAACTGTAAGGCAGGCAAGCCTTCTTGATAAAGCGAGTGAGCCAGACTCACTACTTCGCTTTCCGTGGTCGATCTAGAAGTGGACGTTTGGCGCTTGCTAATCCACGCAAGCGGGAAGAAGGAACTAGGGCCAGACAGATAAAGCCAGAAAGCCACCAGAGGTTGAGCGTGCTGTTGACTTATCGCCGGCGAAGTCGGCATCGACGAATAGTCTAAGCTCGAGGTCTTCAGGTTTATCCTGAATTGTACCTACCAACCTATAGTGTGGGGTTGAGGCTATGTACTGGATTAGTCTTAGGACCTTCTTATCGCCCCCCTGGACCACGACTGGACCTTTGTGGCCAGATCGTTGATAGGCTTGATGATATCGGGACGTGCAAGTCTACCTAACCACAGGCGTTTCATCAAAATCTTACATGCGTTGGGAGCTAGTTCCCCTTTAGTTTCCTCGTCCTCAGTGGTGATGGATCCCTCAGGTGGAAATGGCGTAGCAGCATGCTTGAGTTTTGAAACACCGGTTATTGATTTATACAAATCTACGGTCTGCTGAGCGTAGTCTGCCATATCAAAAACCATGCCTGTTTGGGATTGGAAGGCTGCACACCTTTCATGACCTTCGGTCTTGGAGAGTGGGATAACAACATGGTTGCGTCCAGGAATCCTATAGATGGGCTCTGGGGGTTCTATGTCTACCACAGAAGTTAACTTACTCCAGAAAGCATCATGCTGGTCGGCAGGCCCAGCTAGAGTTAAATGGTCTACGTAAGTTGACAGAAGTAACTCAGTATCTGGGAAGTAAAAGTTTCCTGGGTATTCTGGAACTTCTTGCCCTCCAAGGTTCTTGATGATGACTTTTAGGTGTTGCTCCCACAGGCCTCCGGCATCGGGATGACCGTATAAGGCTTTGATTAAAAGGACTACGGGCTTAACAAACTGTTGTTTCCAATACTTAGGGCGGAGCTCCGGGGGAAGCTCAATCCGAGTCTTATATTTTGAAGACAACAGCGCTTGAACGTAAGCTTTGACCGCATCGGCGGCTGTCGCGCGGTTTCCCGGCAGCGACCCATACGCTAAGCAGGCTTTGAGCCCTTGGGCGGAGGTAGGATTAGCGCCGAGTTCTTGATAGACGGCTGCTGCACCGTGCTCGTCCTTCGCGCAGTCTCCGCGGTAAACTATGCGACCCTTCATCTTGTGAAGATGGGCAGCAACTTCATAGAATTTGATGGACGCAATGGTCATTAATTGACCAAAGTGCACGGATACACCGGAAGCTTTCGCTTCCTTGCGAACTTCTTCCTTTTCGCGGACCGAACTGAGGTCCCATGTGCCCGCTTTGACCAAACCGTCAGCTTCGGCGCGACTTGCTTCAAGCGCCTTAGGGTGTGACAACATCTCTGCACGAGACAAAAGCTTAGTGGCCATAGCTTTGATTTCGGGAGTTGGTGCCTTTGGATCCTCCAACTGGAGGGCTTGGGCTATCAATTGCTCATGGTCAAGAAGTTCTGTAACTAACCTATTAGCGGTGGGGTCGGATTCAACTGCTATAGCTAAATCATCAAAACCAGCTAATGGGGATACGTGCAACTGCTGTTCAATTTCCCTATGGGTCTGAGGCTCGCTAGTTGTCGGTCGGCAGGGCATAGCAGGTACGGACTGCTGGACACATTTCGAGGGAAACAAAGCTTGCGCAATTAAATTAGTCATTTGGGGTGGATACATCGCGGAGCGAGTGGTCTCAGCCTCCCTCACATCTTGCGCGCTTGCAACGCTTATCCTGGAAGACATCTCTGATGCGTTGGGATGTGGTCATGAGCCGCCACGGTTTCTTCAAAGGAAGGCCGTCTCTAGTGGTGAGACCTACTGCACATCCCTCGAAATCTACACACATAAACTGAGGGTGCTTCTCAAAAAATGCTACAACGTCTGGCATTTTCCATCCACTACAGGGTCTTGGCCATTCAAACGTTACAATACCATTATGATTGAGAATACGTTCAGCCCTTTTTTGGTGAAACTAGAAAACAACCGTTTTGACTCTTTGACTTGATGTGCCAGCTTCCTACTGAAGGCGGCACCACCCCTTTTCCTATTGATATACTGCCAAGGGGATCCGGATGTGCAAGGGATGGAAGCCCACATGTGTGGTGGAGCAATTTCAGCAGCTTCATCGATCTGATAGTCTACTTGCTCACATTGCGACTCATCACCTAAGTCGATCCTATCCTTACAAAGTCTAACATGGTTGATACTATATTCATTATCATCTGGGAATTATCAGAACAAGCAAACTCAAACATGGTTGACTTGGCATTGGGTTTGGAGGCTTTCTTGGCAGCTCTCCGGCTTCTGCGATTGTCGCGGTTCCTACAAGGGGACGACCAAAAACAGACAGCGACTCTTGACACAAGTCGGAACATCTAGTGGCAGCTTGGGGAAGGATAGCTACACCGGAAACAGTAGCAGCAGGCTCTGCGGGAGCACTGGGTTCGGCCGACCCTGGTGGTTCTTCATCTATAAAGATACTTTTGAAAAGCTCTTTATCCTCTGGGGAGAGGTGTGAAGGGATTGGGTCAGATATATCCTCACCACGGAAAATAAAACCATGGGCTTCGTTATCCTTGTCTTCTACTTCAGTTTCACTTGCTAGTGGAGCTTTCTTTTCCCTTTCAGCTTCTTTTTCTTTTTCTACCAACATTGAGAAGCGGGCTCTGCACTCATCAGTGTGCGCACGCGAATGGCCAGTGCAGCCTTTGCAACCAGGTGCCTCTTTCCACTTAAGGATACGGTCTACAGTTATATAAACAGAACGACTTTTGAGACCTGGTGTAGAGGGTGAGGCTATTCCGCCCTCCTTGGGGAAGGGCCCATCCTTTAAGGCATATTCAGGCAACTTAAGATCATCTGGGTTATCCCCCCTGATGAGAGCTTGGCGGCGTGAAAAACCTACCGGAAAAACAGGATCACCTTCAGGGACAAAGATTTCTGCTTCTGGAACATCAACGGCTGAATTCCCACCTCTAGCGCGATACTCTTGGTAATTTAGCACCCTAACGACATTCCTATATCATATCTAAAACCGGGATCAATCCTCCAACCCAAAAAGAGACCAGGTGACATGTTTGGTTCCAAAGTTCTTTTGGTGGGTGACTTCCTACGGTAATACACGAACTGACCAAAACATAACCTCATGCCATCAAACTTATTCCTAGTAAGCGATTCCCATTGGGTTTTGTCGGGATCAGCTATTGAAGGCTTGTCAAATGACATTGAGAGGCAAACATATGGATAGCTATAAGTGTGGTACTTGTAGGGAAGACCAGATTGGAGGTGAATAGTGCGGCAACATTCTTTCTCCTCTCGAACGTCTCTTTCGAGAATGGCATTATGGGGCCATCTGTTCGGCAAAGAGGTTTCCGGAACCATGCCTACGGCATGTGCCGCCTGCTCGAGCTCGCCGGCTTCGTCCATTTTGATGAACGTCCGAGTTGTGAGCTATGATCCACGCAGTCCTAAGAAATGCCTAAAGTTGCGAGCATGCGCGTCAGCAGTACGTTTGGACAGTGGGTACGCTACACGCGCTCCAGAGTACGCGTCGCGGATGACATGATGCGACCTAATTCCCCCTATACCAACTCCCATATGTTCGGACCCTTTAGCTAAGATAACATCATCAGTAGCGAGCTGTTCTAGCGGCTGCTTTGGGGAATCAACAAAATCATCGGCTTTGCCATCTTTGACATGTGAAACCCTCATGGCGGTATCTTTTGCTATGTGGCACAAAGGACGGTAGGGATTTTTGGGAAAATGGGTGCGCAAGTGCTCAGGGCTAGTGGCTTGCTGCTTTAGAACTTCATCCTTAGGCGGCTCACGGTCACCTAGCTCTACCAAAAGCTTATCATCCAATGGGTGTTTGGGCTCCGACGCGCTAGCGGGACCAGCAGCGTCC